GCGAGATTTGGCAAGAGAAGCTTGTTCTACTGCCGTTGCGTGATGGGATCACTCGATCGCGTTCAAGAATACCAATATTCGCTTCACGAGAGAACCACGTCCTTCTTTCTCATGCGATCGCCGTTCCCAGTTTCGAGAATTGGGCTCCTGGAGTCTTGCTGCTCGTTGTTGTGGAGTTTCACACAAACGGGTTTGAGCCATTTGTAACCGACCGATTTCAAGTCTTGTTTCCAGTTGTTCTGGTTTTTCAGATAAGCAGGATTAAGTTGTAATCGAGCGCTTTCTAGTCTTGCTGCTCGTTGTTCTGATGTTTCATTTAAACGGGATTGAATTTCTGCTCGTTGTTCCGCTGTTTTTGCAGCTCGCAGAGCTCTTCTTTTCTGAGCCCGACGTGAAGCTTGATCAGTTGCTTTTCGCTTGGGTGGCATACCTTGAGCTGGCCGCGGCTATAAGGGATGTTAACTGCACACTATGGTTGAACACTATGAAGTGGAAAAACAGAAAGTTTACCGATAATCAAATCGGTTTGAAAGTTATTTATGAGCACTTGTTCACAACACTGGATTCAGATAGATGACTGGATCACAATGACACAAATTGTCGTCTCTAAAAATCCACGACAACGATGAGTCATCGATCGAGAGCGATGAGTCATCGAAATGTGCCAAATATGCACTGATAAGCTGCCGAGCGAAGCAAAGGTCAAAAATTACGTTTTTTAATAAAAATTCTACTGTCATTGTTCTTTGGAATTTTGAGTGAATGTTTGTGTTGAAAATTCCCTTTTTTAAAACTGAACAAACTTGTGAAATAAAGTCTGCGAAATTCCCTTTCAGTAAAAAGTGGTTAAAATTCGTTAAAAGATAATTTTAGGAAAAACTGCATAAGTTGGAGAATATTTTGAGGTATCAATGTATTCCTTAGTTCATTACGAACATTTTAGTAAAACGCAGAATTTTTATCCGAAGCCGTTTGAAGGTTAAGTCGTTGTAAAGGAACACACTTGTAGTTGTCTCATCTGCGTTTATTCTTACTCTGATCCTTTTTGGATCCGCGGTGCACCACATTACATTATGCTTGCTTGCATTAATGGTACTTAATGGGGTTAACATGTCAGCAAATATTAATTAACGATTAACCAATATGTTCAATGCTTATAATATCCGTACATTGATCTCAGCCTAAGTTAATAATAGGAGTATGCACTTTTGTGTATATTTTGCAACACGTTAGAGTTGCACTACACCTCCCCTTCCTAGAGAATGGCCTTCACTATCGCCACTTGTGAAGACATTTCCAGATGGGTTGATGAAATAATTGAAATAGAGTTGCCGAAATATACCTTTGACATTGACAATACTATAAATATTATCGGATAACTATATTATAATCCATATTAGAATCTTAGATACTTATTTATGGAACAGATTGTAAAAAAAACATTGATTAACGTTAGCACTGAAAAGAAATAATATCCTTAAATTGAACTTAATTATATTAAAATAAACAGAGTATTGGCGTAAAAAGTCTAATTGAATGCACACTACTAATAGCATATTGCTTTTAAAATGAAACAATGGATGTACTAAAACGGAAAAGGTTTTGTACGCCTTTACTTTTGTGTAGGGTTACACTAAAACACTTATGCTGATCGAAAACCTACCTAAACGATAACGGATCTGTTAGCTACTCTTATAACAATTTGATTGAAAACAATTGCTAACACTACTGTATAAATATTTACAATGTATTTATGTGACTTCTGAAGCTGCAGATTCAAATCGTTTTAATCGATTTTTGTAAATCTTTATTGGTTTGCCTTTATTTCCGTTAAAAATGCTGTGCGAATTTGCGTTAAGGACCGTCTACTGATATGACTTCGTATGGACCGTCGAACCATGAATCGAACTTTTGACGATCTTCGTTAGTAATCAAAACAGACTATGATAAGCAGTGGAGCCCAATCGCTTAGTCCCTTTCTAATGGGCTGTATTGACACAACTGGTTTTCTAACTTTTTTTGTAACCTTCCACAAGGAATATTCAGTTTCTTTATCTGCTGATAAATTTGTAATAAAGGAATTTAGAGAATTCTGTTTTAATTTGTAAATTTCACGTTTTAGCTTTTGAGTTTGTCTATTTAATGATGTCTTATCGCTGGGAAGACGTGTTTGTTGCCATCGTCTTCTTGCTTTTCTTTTCTCTTTCACTAAAATCCGAATTTCAACCGGATAGTTTACTCCTTTCGTGATGTGAGTAATTTCTTTGGTGTTTTTGTAAGAAACCGTTTGCAGCAGAGTGGTAAATTTTTCGGTTAAAACATTCGACAGTTGGTTGTTTATACTTCGGCTCAATTTGGTTGATTTCTTTAACATTAGCTGACATTAACGGAATCGGTAGATCAGAATATGAATATTGCGATGTGGTTGGGGCAAGGTTGATCTCAGATTCACTTTGAGATTGTGTATTAATATTTTTGAAATATGCCTTTACGTTTATAGTGGGATGTAGACCTGGTAAGTTTACTTCACCTTGCTGATTTCCATCTTTCAATCTAGGTCAGCAAGGTGAATAGTACAAAAGATTAGTTCGTTTAGTTCATTTAGCTCAGTCGGCTAATTTTTATCATTGAATGAAAATATAAAAAAACGGTCAATTTAACTTTAGTTATAGTTCCAAGACGTTATAAGTGACACTTTTATACCATGAGCTATATTTTGAACTTCGGAATTTTTCTTTTTAAAAACTTTATTTTCACAATTACAGCAGTTACTCTCTGTAACTCTGACTTTCTCTGACTGATACAATTATGCGTTTAGCAAGTATATATAAGTTATAAATGCAAGTTAGCTTAAATTATGATAGTCCGGGCAGTTTCGAGGTTTAAGCGTCACGTCAGCGAACTCATTAGTTCTATTGCTCGTGCTCGGGATTTATTGTCCTTATATTTGTCTTTGCATTATTGGAGAATCTATGCATTTTTGATTTACATAATTTAACTAACTGTATCTTCTCTGATATTTTCCATGTAAACATGTGGGAGTGAGACATTTTTAAGCAATCATCTTCGTCATATTGTTTTGGTGACCAATCAAAACCCCCAGAAATTTTTTTCCGCTTTCGCATGTTCCTAATGTAGAATCAGGACCCAAATCAGTTAGAATCAATTAAATCGGGTGCATCAAATACGGCTTGGATCATCAGAAATATTGGATAATCCCAGATTGCTGTGAGACGCAACAGTTTGCACGTTGTGAACTTGCCGGTTTTGTATGTAGTAAAAATAAACAATGGATACCAGATCGTTTCTTTGCCATTTCATTTATTTCTAAATAATATACAAAATAAATATATTGTAACGGAAATGGCCTGGCGTACTCACGATTGAAATGGGGGGATCGAAATTCATGATATTTCAGTAAATGGGAGCCCCATTTACTGCCAAATATGACACTGACAAGCGGGAAATTTTGCACCTGGTCTGGAGATTTCGAGAACCGTCTGGGTTACCTGGAGAAAACTATATAAGCGGCGACGAGAACCATAGGGAGTGAGTGAAGTGACAGCAGCGACAGAGAGTCGGAAGACCGAGTTTTTCGTTTGTTATTGTTATTGTTTGTGAAGTTGACGGTAATTTTGAAGTTAGTTTGTTCCTGTTCCGTATTTAAAGTTATACCGAGTGGAGTAAAAGTTGGAAGCAGAAGAAAGAGTTTGATACCCGGCCATCCACGGTACAATATATAACTTCTAAAATAATATCAGAACAAAACAAATAAAACATTTTATTGTTTGCAGCACTAGAACTACTACTTTAATGCAAAAAATAGAAATTCCGAAGCACTCAGCAAGAGGTCCAACTGTCAGTTGTAATGCAAATTAAATCAACCTTCTCCAACTCTTCTTCAATGTTCTCTCTTCTTGCTTGGTACTGTTATAATATTGGTAATGGTTTTTGTTGACGGAACTCGGTAATTAGGGCATAGCATATCACAAAGTTTCAGAAATTCATCTTCTTCTCCAATTTTTAATGCATGAAATTCTTTTACAATCGATCGTAAAATTTCTTCGTCGATCTCTTTACTCCTAGATAGAGAAAACGGTTTCTTTACATACGCGTAGCTTGTCAAATCAGTCTGACATTTTGTTCTTTTTGGTGTCGCTCCCGCCGCTGTGACTACGCTGTAACCAGGGTCAGCGGACTCAATACTGTTTTCCCTGCTCAATGTGTTTGGGCTGGTGATTAGGAATGGACTGTATGTTCAATTTAAACTTGCTTATTTTACCAAACTGAGTAGCAAGTCAGAAAACCTTTTCTAACTCATGTCACAAAAATGCTCACTGTCAAAAATACCAGTTATCTAACAATACCCTTTATGGCTTGGGCCTAAACATACCGCCCGCCCGCCCTGGAAGTCTTCATGTCTTTCAAAATATAATTCATAATTGTAAACTAATCTAATCTTAATTCTAAGTAATTAACATGCAGGAACTTAATCCTACCTAATACTAACAACAATTTTAAATATAAATTGAATAACATTTAAATAGTAAACTTCAGATCACCATAATGAAATCAGAACATACCTATGATTTAATTTCGCAATCAAAACAACTAGGCGACAATACACAAATTCGGTTTACCGCTCTAGTCACTTGACTGTTTCGCACTTTCATTTTCACTACTTGTACAATATTGTCAGATCCTGGAATCAGTTCCATCACACGTCCCAACGGATATTTGCTTGTATGTAAATTGTCCTCCTTGAGCAGGACCAATGCTCCAATCTCAAGCAGGTTCGGAAAGGTTTGTCTCCACTTTACTCTTGTTTGAAGTTCGGACAAGTACTCTTTGTGCGATCTAGCCCAATGGTGTTGAGTGATAGCTTGTAATCGT